TAATAGTGCAAGTAAATACAAAAAATAATACCAACTACCCCTGCCATAAATAAAGTTTTTATTTGAAGATAATAAACCTCCATTTCATGGATCATTCAATTTAAAAGGTTATGTAGCTACACTGGAAATGTCATAAAAAGCATATTATATCACAATTAAAATATGGCAGCATCAGAATAATAAAAAATTGAATCATCTGAGCAATGACGATACAAAACAGAGCCTGACCGCGTTTAACATCAGGCCGGATTTTATTATGCTCTCCCCTTGATTGCGATTGGCTCGAACCCATTAAACACACAAATAACCCCCCAGCTGTAACCAAGTCCACCTGTTTATAAACACAAACAGTTATGAACACACTCCGACCTGTCACATATCATCAAAGACGGAGCAAACATGTAGCATGCTTCGATGGCTTCAGCTGGCCCCTGTGCACGAAATCTGTTTCCTCTCAAACTCATGTTACTCAATCGAGGGGAGGGATGTAACACTAAAATATGAGGCGGTAATCCACAACTACTTTTGGGAGATAGTATGTGTGTCATTCTGGCTAGACTTCAGCCCCATTGTGGATTTTTCATTTCACTAGACTTTTTCCCAGAGTGTGTTCCTCAACATTTCTCAGGGCCGATCCTGTCTTCGCCTCCTGATACACAGTAGCCTGTTGTCTGGCCTGGGGAGGGGGCAAAGGAGTGGTGTTATGAGAAGGCAAAGAACATGTTATGTTAACCTGGGTGGTAAAAGCCTGAACATATTTGGGAAAATGCCCCTTTATACCCTCTCACACCCACTCTTCTTCTTGGGGTTCTTAGGAATTCTCCAATCTTTCCTGTATTGAAATAATCAAAAGGTCAGTTCACCCAAATTACACACACACACACACACACACACACACACACACACACACACACACACACACACACACACACACACACACACACACATGCACATACAAATACACATACACACACACACTTTTTCTTTCGTATTAATCCATTTAGATAGTTTTGGTTTAATTTGGGGGTTTGGAATTTCGTTTTTGGTGCTAAAAACATTGAAGAAGGATGGAAGAAACAGAACATTTTATTTCTCGCAACAATGTTCCAGTGCCTTTGTGGTTAGTCCACTGAAGGGGCATAGCGAGAATCTTAGAACTGCTGAGGAAAATATACTGGGTACAAATTCCCCCAATTCAACCTTATGCCACACAATGTTCTATCAGAAATGTCATCAATAACTTTCATGACATCTTTTCTTTACATTTCACGTGGCAGAAAAAAAATTGAAAGTGATTTTTTTTTACCTAAATGAGGTGCCGTCCAAAAAACCAAAACAATGAGCTGAAAGTTGCTAAAACTCCCTGTAAAGTTGAGGGGAATTACAGAGTTTGGACTCCTGTCATGGAGTCTTTCAACATTGATATTATAAAAACAGTGATTGAAACAACGCTGTGTGTTTTTTTAAGATATAAACGTATTCTCAGAGAGATAATACCTTGGACATTGGTCTTGTGTCTTCATTGTTACTTGGAGCCAGTCCGAAAACCTTGCTTTAGCCTGAAAAGTTTCATCTGAGCCCTTTTCCTGGAGATTTTTTTTTTTGGGTGAAAATCTTTGACAGTATGTTTTGTGGAATATGCAGATGAACGACAATACCGATAGAGCTGTTGCTGATTAACTTTTAAAAACATTAGTGGCATGGCTTTACTTTTATGTTGTTGCCCACATTTCTAATCATTCCCTTACTCCTTCTACTCTCCATACATTTATTGCCCATGTTATACAGACACTGTGCACTGAAAAACTGAAACGTTGACTTTGATTACATGTATAACATTAACAATTTCACTTAACTGTATTGGGTAAGTTGAAAGTAATAATATTGAACCTAAAACATGTTTATTTAAACTTAATATAATTGCTTACAACTCAACTAATTCTGATTTGTGAAATCTGTTGACATAATGAATTTAATCAAAGTCATATAGTGTGTCAGGCAAAGTGTCAGCTCTCAGACTGAAAGGCCGTCTGTCCCCTTTAAATCTCCTTACTCCATTGTGTTTATCTGGATGCTTTCCTAAACTAAGCCTGGCAGAGTCCTGAATTTCCGGAGCCCAAAATGTGAGCCCAGGAAACTGAACTCCTCCGGGAAAGTGGAGCAATGGGAGATGGAGCGCCACTCAGAAGCAAAACAAACCCAAATGTCAGGGGTTTGTTTAAAATCTCCCGTCTTATATTAACAGCATTGCTACAGGCTAGTGATTAGCCTCACATTGGTCAGACTCACTTAATTTCCATTGGAATCCACATTTTATGTATTTTATGATATAAAATACAGTCATGGATTGGATTCATGCTCAGTCATTAAAAATATATTATTATAAAGGTTAAAAAGATGGACTTAAAAGCAGATTTGGAAAATGTGTGATTTACATTCTTATACTCAAAACATGGACATATTTAATGTGTTCAGCCTAGTCTTTTGATAAATTAGACCTTTGCGATGATGGCCGATGGAGCCGCATATGTAGATATTATGGTATCTGCTGTTGTTGGCAAAGAGCTGAAACCTGCCCAGGTTATTGTAATGTCAACACTGAGCATATGATCTCAATGCAGCAATCTTTGACATTGAGGGATTCATACTTGTTTGATGTCTTACAGTTGAAATGCCCTGCGCAGGAAGGAAGTGCTCACCCACTGGTCGTCTGTTCCATCTTCAGGAGCTCTATGGGAGGGAGGGAGGATTTCAGCGCAATATTTACAGTGACCTTTTCCTCTCACTGGCCAGGGGCCCATGGGAAAAAACTGGAGAGGACAAACAATGAACAATAGGGTTCAGGGATGAGCAATGGTGGCAGCGCAGCATGTGCCATTACGGGATGTGCATTACACAGGGTCGGGGGGTCACAGCAAGGATCAAGGCACCAGCACTGTCCCTCAGGAGCACCTGGGACACCTGCTCAGAAAGCCTGTGCTATTTAAAAACACAACATGCAATGACGTGTTCCTCGCTTGTTAGGAATAATGTCAGACATGAAAATCGTTTTTTAAAGGAAAACTTTGAAATGTTGTGAAATATGCCTATTGGCTCTCTTGCTAAGAGTTGAAGATTGATGCCACAAATATTGCTTTACCGAAAATGAAGCTGCAGCCAGCGGACAATTACCTTAGCATGAAGACTGTAAATAGTGGAAAACAAATGGTGGCTTACAATGGATTAGCCAAAATAACTGTGCACGTAACATTTATTAAAACCACATCTTTTCATTTTAATACTAATGTAATACACTTAAACTTTAAACAAATAAAGAAGACACAGTATAATACTAGGCCATATTGTAATGGGATCACTCCAGCCCCTTCTACACTTACTAACCTCCTACTAACCCTGCCTTTATTTTTCTGAATCTGTTAAATCCAGTGAAAGCTTCAAATTAGGCCAGTGGCGTAAAGTAGTGTGCTCCGACCACACCCATCTTCAAATACCTTTATTTTAATCTTCACTTCACACCTGTAAGGTTTTGCGACTGTATCTTGAACAGTCGTAACGCTATCGCTGTGATAAAATCTGCATTCAAATCGAGACAGTCCTGAGAAAGGACTAAGAACTGCTTCTGTGGTAGTTTACACTTTAGTAGGTGTCTCTGGGACTACATTATGCCATTATGACACACACAAACAAACACGCACGCACGCACGCACGCACGCACGCACGCACACACACACACACACAGAAGGTGAAATAAGATCAGTGCCACTGATGTTCTTATCCAATGGCAAGGGCTGTACCACAGAGCCTACGATCAAAATCTTCCACCGCCATTGCTGTAAATTGGTGTTTATGCAGTCAAACAGCCCCTGTGTTGCATCAGCATCGTTGCAAACTCCCAAGTCACAGTTTGATCCCTCAATTATCAGATTACCCCGTCTAATTGGACAATATGTTTTCCCTGGGGATTGGGCATTGCCTTATCAGGGACATTCTTTCTGCCCTGCACAATTTGGTAAGATAAATGTAATGGTATCAGTGTTCTAGTGTGTGCCTGGGTGGTCTCTGTTGCATTTCTAATGATGCTGCGCCTTTCCCAGAACAAGTGGACATACCTCTGTGATGCACCGTGAAAAGAGAGGAGAGGAAAGAAGCAAATCTCCCACTGGGACATAGAATTCTCACACAAACGACATACAACATCGTTTCTTCAATATTTAATCTGTGCGCAGAAATCAGATGAACCATAGTTCTCTACTCATTGGAAGTGTTCACAGCACATCAATATCTTATAATATATCACAACTGAAAGTATAATTCAAAATATCAAATTAAATTGCAAAATATATCAACGGCAAAACTGTTTATTATGCATAGTAGATTTATATAGCATATATAAATGAATTAAATATTATGTTTAAAGTGGACTATAAATGTAAAGTAACATGTAAATAGATATATTTAAGTTAATTACAATAACCAAAAAACTCTACATGAATACATTATTTTAGTAAATATACTTAGTTGCTTACCATGCTCTATTTGTTTCCCCCGCTGAGTGTGAGGGTCTAAGGACAGAGGGTGTCGGTACAGATTGAACAACCTCCTGGCTCTGTTGTGACATTTGTGATATTAGGCTGTATAAAAACAATTTGATTGACTAAAGTTTAGAGAATGTGAAAAGGGTAGCAAATGCAATGTTTAAGTTACTTTTTCATTTTAAATAAATAGCTTACTGGTATCATTATTTCCATTGTGCTTTTTTCTTTCAGACTTTCAGAAATGTGTTATTTATAGTATGACACAGAGTATACCATTTTTTTTTAAATGTATAGTGTGATAGTTTTTTCAGGAGGAGTAGAACAGGTCAAAATCATAACCAGAAATGTTTATGTTTTATTTTGAAGGCGTTGGCTTTGAACGGAAAGCCGGAAGTAGTCACGTGATACAGGAAACGGTCGCTGCGGTGCTACTGTAAATTGTAAGTTACATTTTCTCTATCCTGTTTTCTCCTAAATGCACAAGGTAAAGTCAAAGTCCTCTTTGTAGCAACTGTGATAATGTAAGCGGTTTGTAAGATTACAATGAACACAAATGACAGCCAGAGTAAACCCTTCCGGAATAACGAAGAGCTTGCTAGCAAACACAGGTTAACGTTAGCCTAAGCTAACGTCAGATGGAAAATATGTCAACAAAGCAGATATCCCTTTCTCTAACATCACACATAGTTTGGTGTGTTTCATTCAATGTCCATGGAAGCGAAAGCGGCTGGAAATGTCTATAATGTTGTTATATTGTACCGTTTAAATGGGCAATATGATTAGCTGCACCAAACTCCATTGACAAATCAGTCTATTTTATGATGTATTGTTTTGTTTGCGAGGCGAACACACCTTAACTCTTTGAAGCGTTTAACGTATTCAAGTCATATTTATTTCTGATCAGTGTTTATCATAAATGCTTTATTTTAAAACGTACAATTGATGTATCTCTATTCACCTTTCTTTCCCCTTTTTTTCTATATGTTGCCTGTCTCCAAGTATTATTCCATACTAGATATTATGACTACACTAAACAAGGAATAGGAATATATAATCGTAATTTATTTTTATTTGAAAAGTCTTACAACACAGAATATAGACTGGTAGGATGCACCTCTTATTTGTTTAGGTTCATTTGCTTTTCTATTTATTTTTTTGTTAAAATTCAGCTGTTTACCCTTATGAAAAATCAAATAAAAAGCTGGTCAAACATATAATAAAAAGAGGTGTGTCCAACTTTACCAGTGCAGTAGATGTAATACATGACATGTAGGCGAGACCTTTTAATAAAGAAACTACTGAATCCTCCAAAGAAATATATACATAATAGAAAGTGGAATTAAATACAAAGAGGTCATACTTGTAATATGATCTGGTATTGTTTTGAGTCAATAGGTCACATGGCATGGAAGTTATACAAAATAAAATAGGTTTATTGAAATATCTTTGAAAGATCAAAAAGTGTTTAACTTAGTAAAAAGACCTGAGTTAATGTTTTTCATAATATCATACCTAAAATTAACTTAACCATGGTCCGGTCCCTCATACTGAGTTAAGCAATTAAAATGTCCTTGTGAAAATGAGTAAATGTGTTGAATGTTTGAGAGAACCTGCAGGGTTACTCATTGCCAGGTGGTATGATTTCAACTTCTATACACATGTCCAATCCATTCTAATGTAAACACATTTAATAACTGCCCTTACACAGAGATAATGATTGTCATTGAAGTACTCTATCAAAACAAAGAGCATGAAGCAGACTCAACACCTTGCTTAGACTTGCAACAACGTTTCATGTATACAGATGGGAAAGAGTGAAAGTAAAGAAATGATCACATCAAGTGACCTCATGTGACTCAGAAAGGCACTTCGGTGAAAATAAACATTAGATTACTGTAACATCGTTTTTTCATCACTTCTCACTGCTTCATAGATTTTAGATGAACAGTTACTGGTTTATATTGTTCACTTTATATCCTGCTAAGTAAAACAGTTTCCAACCTTTTATCACTGACGTCATGCAACGATTTATTCTCTGAACCCAACCAAGTTATTTGTTAAGATGGAAATGATTTGTTGGTTTGTTTAAGTGTAAACATACCTACAAAGCACACACATGGTGGTGGTTTAATGGTCTGGGGGATATTTTCTTGGCATACTTTAGGACCCTTCGTACAAATTGAGCATCGATTAAACGCCGCATTCTACCTGAGTATTGTTGCTGACCATGTTCATCACTTTATGACCACAGGTTACCCATCTTCTGATGGCTGCCTTCAGCAGGATAACGTGCCATGTCACAAAACTCAAATTGTCTCAAAATGACAATGAGTTCACTGAACTCAAATAGCCTCCACAGTCACCAGATCTCAATCCTATGGAACAAGAGATTTGCATCATGGATGTTCAGGCAACAGGTCTGCAGCAACTGAGTGATGCTATCATGTCAATATGGACCAAAACCTCTGAGGGATGTTTCCAGCAACTTGTTGAGTCAATGCCACGAAGAATTAAGGCAGCTCTGAAGGCAAAAAAAGATCCAACCCAGTACTAGCAAGGTGTGCCTAATGAAGTGGCCGGTGATTGTATATCAAAAACAGATAGGCTTTATGGGCAAATTAAAACCACAGACCATTCTTTGCGGACCCCATACGTTCAGTATATACATTGTTGGGTTCATTATGAAACCATGGCAGGTCTACCTAGACTGCAGGTAATGGAAAACGTACGGTGGCCGAAAGGTGCAAACACTTTTCCATTAGGAGGAATCCACTGCAATTTAAGGAACGATGCACACTAAATAAAAACACAAATGTGCCAACAAACTTGCAGAGGAAGAAAATGACATATCGTACAGCTAATTGTAGGCACTGTAATAATGTCAGGCTGATCACATTTAAATAAAATGTCTTTGTCATGTCCTAAAAGTGGCTGTTTATACAAACCAACTATAGTTGCAGTAAGCAGCAATAACATGAGCTCAGCTTCTTTTGTTTTCAAGCCTATGTTACTCCAAAATCCAAGAAAGTACTGTTCCAGCTATGGTTAGGCTAAGATATTACTTACCTTAAAAACTTTGAGTCGTCCCTGTTGTGATAGACACTGTTCAAACAGAACAGACTCAAAGCCTCTATAATAACTACTCTTGTGTACTTTTGTCAAATATTGTTGTAACAGTCTTCCTTTAAATAGGCTTTTTAGAGGAAACAGTACCCTTACCATGTGTGTTTGTTCAACTGATTGATTGTGTGAGAGAGTGAATGAGAGTAATTGATTGACAGGTCGGTTGCAGGCAGGCGCCATGTCGCAGGAATAGGTTGTCATTGAGCTCCTCCATCATGTGTGTCGACATCCATGCTAACAACTTTCAGTGAGAGCCTACTGTGTATCTCCCTCTCTTCCCCAAAGTCAGCACTGCTTGGCTGGGGGATGGCGGGGGGCAACGCTACACTGATCCATTTCCTGCCCCAAACCCCCTCCTGGGGCTCTAATTGAAAAATGTGGGTGGCCCTGCTTGTTTGCTTTGGTGGAATGTGGTGGGTTGTGTTTTTTGAGGCTTTTTCCTCAGCGCCGCTGCTCCGCAGACCTCGGGGTTAATCGAGCGGCGGGGGTCAGGCCGAGCCTTGTTTGTGAAGCGGCACTTCTCCCTCACCCCCTTCTGCTCTCCGCAGTCTGCCTCACCTGGTAGCCTCCTCCCTGCTGACAGGCTTGTTGGGCCACTGGTTTTCACAGTATGGTTTCTGTGACCCAGTCAGACCCACACAGACAGACAGAGGGGTCTGGGCTGGAAACACGGTCACAGCAAAGCTCAAGATACAAGCTCAGTGATGAGTCAGCTTGTTTAATGTAGATCCTTGCCAAATTCCAACTTATTGAAAGAATAAGGCATAGTCATAATAGAGTGACACAATTTGACACTAAATTGAATGATTAATTATAGGTGGGGTATGTAATTTATTTCAGAAACACTTGTTATATTCCATGGAATGCTCTTAACATCCTGATAGCGAATATATTAAATGCTTTGACAATAAACCCATAAAAAAAATTAATCTGTGGAAGCCGTAGTACTGTAAAAAGCACGACCGGCCGGCTAAAATAACTGGATGGCCTACCTGCCTGTCAGCCTTCCATCCGTGCACAAACTTATCTCGTGCCCTCATTGGTCATGTGCGCGTTCGTGTGTGTTGGAGGAGGGGCTCTGTAAGGAAGTGGCAGATATTTTCCGGCTGTGTATTTTCAAATTCTAGCGCACTCGAGCTGGTTTCTCCAAAATTACCTACCCCACCTTTAACTGATTACTATTCAACAACAGTTTTTTTGGTTAATCAACTACTGTTAAAGTGTACTGGTTAATTTATGATAGTAAATTGAATATTTGGAGGGTTATGGACTATTGGCCCAAAAAATAATAATACTGAAGACTCCAGCTTGAGCTTTGTGAATTTGTGATGGACATTAGTCACATTTTGCCTATTTGAAGCTTTAAAAAATAAACATTTAAACATACAATATAGGGATGCACCGAATATTCGGCCACCGAAAATTATCGGCCGAAAATGGTTAAAAAGGCCCTTTCGGCTTTCGGCCGAATGTCAGAGAACAGGGTTACGTTGATCCAGGGTGTCCGCGGGGTCTTAAAAAGTATTAAAAGTTGATAAATAAATTTAGCGAAAATTAAGGCTATTAAAAAGTATTAAACGGCATTTTCCAAGGTATTAAGAAGGTTCACAGAAACGACAACATGAAACACCCTTTAATTGACTGAAACGACATGTCGGGAAACCCCACAAGGCGGCCCCATGCATAACGCGCCGTAAAATGCTGCTTATTATTTTAAGTTTCGTTGCCTTGCTCCGCTCTGTGTGTGTGTGTGTGTG